GAGGCTCTTAGCAAAATTTTCAGCTATTTTTGATTCTATGTTGGGGAGTTTTTACAAGAAAAAAAAAGTTAATTGCCAGTTTCAGGGTGAAGATCTTGATTAAAATCAGTAATATCGACCTTTGTGGGTAAACTTATTCTTTATAAACAAAATTTAAGCAGTAAAGAATATTCACAGTTACCTCATTTGTCACAATTACCAAAAATGCTTCAAGGCGATGTTATTTTATCATATGTCATTCACTTGAACGCATTAAACAAGGATTTTACTAAGAGGTTTTGATGATCTCTTAAATTTACAAACTCCTCATCTGTATACTATCACAGCTATGGAAGAAGCCAATGTGATAATACAAGAAGTGTTGATCACCATCAGCACTGACGAGGAGCTTAAGCAGAAGTTCAACTAAGGCTATCAGAAGTTCTGGTTGCTGCGCAACATTGAAACACAGTATTGTCGAACATTGCTGAAAAATACATTATACCATTATCATACCTAGTCAAAAAAAGGCTTCAGTGTCGTTACGATCATTTTAACAAAACAAAAAACCGTTTGAAAATCGTGGGTGGCTCAGTGGTAGAGTCTCTGCCTGTGGATCCAAGGGTCCCAGGTTCGAATCCCATCGTTGGCCGGAATTTTTTCATTTCATTTAATTATTTAAAATTAATTCTGATGCCTTGCTAGGATTCCCCACTCGACCATTCACTGTTGGGTTCTAATTAACAGTGCTGTTTCTAAAGTGGCGCTGGTAAACAGTAACAAAGCCTACACAGAACACGAGGCTAATGGCCTTTTTTTTGTAGCCGATGCCAATGAAAACAAAATAAAAAAAAAAAAATACGCGGAGATTTAAGGCTGCAACCCACCAATATTGAACAGGATTTAGCTAGATTGGTAGAAAGTCACTAGATTCATTCATCACACTAAATTTTTTATTTTCTTATCTTTACTTTGCGATTTTAATTTTTTTTTTTTTTATAATTACCTACTTAAGTTTTTTTACGTAATTTGTATTAATAATTATTTATTTACCTTTGCTATTTACTGAATTATGTCCATTTATTTTGAATTTTGATGTGAAAATGATGTCAAGTTTACTTACTTAACCAACCGTATTTTGAATCAACAAGAAAAAAACTAGAGAGGATTTTTAAAGTAATTTGGCTTCGAGGGTTTGAAATATCAGTTCATTTTGGAAAAGAGGTCTCTTGTCCAAAATAGTTTGGGAATCCCTGACTTGGACGGTCCTCGTTTAATTATTACTCAAACTGTATGTATGACACTGGAATGCAAAATCTAAGGAGAAAAATTAATTGAATTATTTATGAAACTATTTGATGTATTCGAAATTATCTTTTTTAATAGGTCGAAATTAAAAATACCTACTTATATTTAAACTATAACAATAACAATTATTGTAATTTTTATTGGGTACCTAGAACCGTGAAATGAAATGTGAAAAATGCAATTTGATTAAAATGTAAGTTAATAACAAATGGTAGAAAAAACTATATAGAATAATTTTATGTAAATCAAATCAAATAAATGTCTGTTTTCATCTTAAAAAAATCTAGAGTTGAAATCAACAGATGTATTTCAAACTATTTCAACTAAGTAGTAGGTACTATTAAAAGTGTGGATTGGTCAATTTTAGATAATATTAAGGATATAAAAAAAAAACTATCTGAACTCTGTTGAAAATAGTATCATTACTAATCCAGAAAATTTTTGGTCATACATGTAACAAAAAAAGGGTAATACGAGAATTCCCGGAAGGATGTTTTGCAATGAAAATGATGTTTTTACTACGCCAAATTCTATTGTTTAAGGTTTCGCAAATTAGTTTGAAAGTGTCTACCATTCCAACACAATTTATCGCTAACAATTCAGAAATAAATCATATTCCATGCTGCAACATATCACAAATTTCTGAAAACCATATTTTAAAGGCAATTAATAAACTTCCAAATAAATTCTTAGTTTTCTTTTAAGAGATTGTGCTAATGTGCTTTGTAACAGCATTATTTAAAATTTTCTTCAATTTTCTAATCTGAATTGCATGTTTCAGTTGATTAAAACATCACATCTCTGCACAGTTAGGTAGGTAACTTTTTGTTTTTCGTCGTTTTTAGGAATAAATTCCATTCTAGTCGGAATGAAAATCGATATTTATGATTTATTTGCTATGAATGTATTATGTCCCTCGACGATGACGTGGCCCCGCTTACGGTACATTTGGGTATAAGCATTATCAACGCAACCAGATAACGGGGATGGAATTTTTGAAAGTATACGTAACGTAAATAAATAACCTGTTGTTTGGTAGTTTCGTTATGGTTAAAATATTATTTGTTCTACAGAGCCTTCAACAATACTTGCAGCTCGCGTGAGCGGGGACTTATTTTCAAACTAAGGGAGAGAACTCATTTATTTCAAGAATTCATGAGAAATATCGTAGTGCAAAGTGGAAACAGTATTTTGAAAGTCAGTGAATATTCATTGACTGTTTTTCTTGGTTTATTTTTTTCATCTGTCAAATTTAGTGATTTCAGCCAATAGAGTTCGCGATCCTAACCAATCATTGAGTTTTACATTGATTAAACTGCAATTCCTTTTTTTTATGAAACTATGTTTTACTTTTGAACTGACAAATATACATAATTTAAAAACTTTTAATGAACTAAAAAAGTAAACTGTACGTTCCAGCAACATTTCAAACACTTTACTAAAGTTACAGATGATAGAGATAGGGCGATAGTTTTCCACCTCAGTTTTATTTCCTTTTTTATATATCGGATAAACCTTAGACTCTTTCCACACTGACGGTATGGTTTTAGTCCGGATGCAGGTATTTATAAGTTCAGTTAAAGGATGAGCCAGTGCTACGACACAGTCTTTTAAAAGGAAAGCAGGAATATGGTCAGGCACAGTAGTCCGTTTGGGCTTTAATGATTTTAAAGTATCTAATACTTGGTTTTCTAAAAAGCTAGCAACGTTTAAGTGATACATGTGGCTTTCGTTTATCGGGACATATGTGGCTGAAGACTGCACATATAAGATTTACTAAAAAAGGTAGTAAAGCCATTTAATATATCTGATAGATTAAAAACAAAGTTACCTCTATCTATCTATGGATCATGGTATTACCAACTTTATTGGAGCATTTTTTATTGTTGATGTAAGCCCAGAATTTATTGGAATTAATCAATATTTCTGATTCAGCTCTTTCGAGATATTGTTTATAGGCTCTATCGACATCAACTTTAACTAGATTCTTATGCGTCTAAACTCCTCAAAAGCATCTCTCTTATACTGTCGCCAGAGTTTTGATTTTTTGTGAATTAAATTTATAATAGTTCCATTATACCAAGGAGGATAATTTTTCTTACTGTGGACTGTATACCTAGGTATACATCATCAATTTCATAAAAGTTTTCCAGAAAAGTCCAGTAAATTTTGGAAATTATGTCATACAACATCGCAAAATTCGCCTTACGAAAGTTATGTTGACGAAAGATGACTCTTAAATTATTTCTATTATTTAGTTTTTCTACTGATTTTAATGTAATGTCCAAAACTGGATGATGACAATCTTCCTTTATCAACGGATCTACGGATTTTTCAACAAAACAGAAATTATTAAAGTACACTAGGTCTAGTAGCCTATTATTTTCATTAAAAACAAAGTTATTCTGTTTTAAATCAAAAACATCTGCAAAATTGTTTAATGCATCTAATCTTGCATTCGATTGAGAGTTGGTAAGAAACAAAGCATATTCCGATATATTGAAATCACCTAAAAACAAGATTTTATTTCCATACAAAGAATCCAAAGACTAGCGACTCCAAAAGGCATTCGTATTCCTCAAAAGGTGTTTTTGGTGGAATATATAGATTATTACAATTATAAATATGCCTAAGATTTAATCTAACTTTTATTTACAAGACGTCAATGAATCTAAATAGCGGCCAAGAGTATTGCTGCAAATCAATACGAGTAGAAATATACTCTTCATGAACCGCGATCAACACTCCACCGCCTCGAGTTTTATCACTAACTGTAAGATTTCTATTTGTTCTAAAAACATTAAAATATGTAGTAAATAGTTCCGAATTATTGACCGACGAGTCCAACCAGGTTTCCAAAACAAATATTTTGAGGTCACTTTGTGTGTTATCACAACATGACTCGTATATCTCTTAATATGTCGTGGCCTATTTTAGAAACATTTTTTGTGGATAACCTGTCAGTTTTACTTTTCAGCCTCTTTAATTCTGCCTCTTTTTCTTGTTGACGCTTTTAATATCGCACATCCGATCAAATAGAGTTATAACTTAAAAAACTTGGGTTTTAAGTTAAATAAATACAAATGCTCAAAATTAAACGGTGCATCATCTCAAACGGAGTCATATCTGTAACTCCACATATTCGCCACTAGAATGCAGATGTCACGATTTGCACTGAGGCCAGTTTTTTTTAAGGTTCTCAATTAGTGTGACAGTTAGTTATTTACATTTTTCAAGTTATAACTCTTATAACTTTATCGGAGGTGCGATATATTACTTTTAAATCAACGATAAAATAATTATATCGTCCGCATAAGCCATCGGTTGCACCATTGTATTGTATATTGTATCTTTTGCGTTTATTCTACGTGTTTATATACCGATCACCTCTGAATATCAAAATGGATGTGTTGATAATAGAGCGCCTTGCCTTACACCTCTCTTGACCTGGAACTTTTCTAATATAATTGAATTGTCCATTCACCCATACTCTGTATGATTTAGTTATTTATGTTTTAATAGCTTTTGTTATCAAACATTACAAATTAGATTATTGATTTTAATTTTAAAATTAGTAGCAAATAGAGCGGGTTTTCTCGAAATAAAATTTCTGGCTTCTCGAAGTTCTTTTTTCTTATTAATAGTTACCAAAATTTTTAAAACTTAATATTGATGACAAATTATATGATTAAAGTACTATTTTTTTATTACAGGCTGAATGTTGCGGTGTAAAAGGACCCGCAGATTGGTTCAAGATTACTCACAACAGCTCGCTACCGCACACTTGCTGCCCGGACACACCAGACGATGGAACTTGTACGACACAGAATCCCAACGTTTATCAAGCGTCTTGCGTCGAAAAATTGAAGGGCGTCTTCATTAAATACGGCGTCATCATCGGCGGCGTTGGTCTTGGCATAGCTGCTTTACAGGTAATGATCCAATATTATGTGCAATTTTTTACAGTCTTCCGAATTCCCGAGTTGTCGCTGTTTTGTCTCTCCATACAGAAGCGATTCTCAGAGCCAGCAAATATGCTAATGCTGCTACAAGTAGTGATCGTCCATGGTTTCTGATTTATTTACTATTTCTCTTTGCCCATCGATAAATAATTAAAAAACCTCAAAAAATGTATGCAAAGTTGTCTATGAAAAAAATCACCTATGCTATACACTTAGGTTTCTTTTGTTTTATGTAACAGTTTGGATTTAATTCTAAGTAGTTCGCAGTTATCTAGGGTATAACGTATCTCTGTTCCTGTCAGTCTTAGATATTGAGATAGAATAAAGAGGAGATGTTATGAAGGTACCATAAGTGTCTGCACTTTTGCATTACACTTTTATATCATGTGTCAAACTGGAACTAGTAAGTTTTGGTGAAGATAAATGCCATTTTTTTAAATAGTTTTATTTAAATGATATAAAAACAATTTTATTCCGTCAATCTTCAAATATAAAATTGTTGACATGAAATAAATAAAATAGTGTTTATATCATCTCCACTTCATTCTATCTCGATAGTCTTGGGTCACTACCTATTTTAGAAACCTTTTTAGGATCGCATATTGTAAACTAATTAAATCTTTTTTTCTTTCAGCTAATTGGTATCATTTTCGCCTGTTGCCTGGCCCGTTCGATTCGCAAGGAATACGAAACAGTGTAAATGTCATATATTTTTTGTGCACTATTATAGTACATAGTATTTTATCCATCTATATAGTATTCTGTCCACCGTTTCTTTATTAGTGTCAATACTAATAATTGTATTGTATTTTTTTGTTCACGTTTTTCACCAGAATCAGTATCGTTTTGTTAAAGCTCTCTAAGGATTTCGTTGCATTTATCGCCAGGTGCGAAATTTGGTCTTTTACATTATTTGAAATGCTGATTTAAACAAAAATGTGTTCAGGTATGTCGCCTAATAACTGTCACGCTTTTGACACAAACTATTTAATTTGACACGTTTTTTGACAGATGCGTGACGTCTGTCAAAATAGGAAAAATTAGTTAGGTTTTTAAATTTAAACCAAAAATAAATTAATATTTTCTGTTAGCGTGTTCATAATTTTGTATTATGGAAGCCAAAGTGTGTCGTTACTCACAAAAAAAATCTCACAAGTCTGATTTTTACTCGAATATAGTACAATTTTTAGTAGAGATTACAAAACAATTCAAAAATTTCGCGTTACGTTCACTTCGTGTGTTTTTTCACCAGACTGATTTGTTAGGTTTTTCACTGTTAATTTTTAAGAGTATTTTTTTATTTATTTGTTACTGAAAATTACGATTATTCTAGTTAGTAAGTTTTTTTTAATGTTTATAAGCTCAGGCTCAGTATACATCGGCGTCCTCGATGGAAATCAACAGCCAAACTGACGTTTCAGTTGTCAAAACTGTTATTTGTCTAAATATGGTTAGGTTTTTAGTGTTTTTGAATAAAAGTTATGTTCTTTTCAATTTTATTTATTAATTTCTAAAAAAAATATATTGTGGAGCTATTGATTTCCATTTGGGACCGTAAATTTCTAGAAGTACTTTTTGTAGGTACTCTCAAAGCGCCAAAACTTCATTCGACTAAGGGAGTCAATAAAAAATTTTATACACAAGGAAAATTATTTTTTAAAATTGTTTACTATAAAATGCTGTATAGCATAAACATTTTTTCAGTAAAAATAATAATAATTAACCCTTAATACTAGTAGAAAATATGATATATACTTAAATGTTGACAAGTGTTATCCAGAAATGTATATAATTGGAAATGTCAAAAATAGTAATCGGTACTGTAGGGAGCAATAATTGTCAATTGTCTAAGGATCTAAAGTTTCGTTTAAATGAGATATAGACTTTCTTATAATTAGTTTTACAAATATTTTAGAAGTAGAAACCAAATATGCTTCTAATTCAGTTATATTTTGGTGTGACTACTTCTAAAACGTTTTTAAATCGATATACAAGTCTGTTAAACTGTTTTAAATATTTGACAATCGCGTAATATAACTTTTTATGTCAAAATTGACGTATTATCTCTTAGGTTGAATTGAGGGAGTTTAGGAATTTTATAAATTGAATTTTCTGGATAGCACCGAAATTTTTAATATTTTAAACCTATATGAAAGTCTCTTAATGTGTAACGTCTAAAAATATTAAAACAAAAATGAGTTACCGTTTGCGAGACTCGTGTTAGCGCTGTAAATGTCTAATATTTTTTGAAAGTTTCTCTATTTAATGTGGTTGTGTACAGATATGTGTAGAACAAAATTGCATTTTCTGCCGAGTTTTGGCTACATTATGTGAAGAAAAATTGTATATTGATGTTATACGAACAATAAATACTACTGTAAGCCAGCGGGTGCTTTTATTTTTACGTCCTTCACGCGATGCATGCCTGTCCCTATGTTGTCGGTCTGATGAGAAAATAACTGCGTCAAATTTTAGCAGGTTTGGAAAGTTTTTCTTGGGTTTTTATTTACAGCTTTCTACAAAACTTCAATCTAGGCTAAGAAGTTCTAGGAGACCTGGTTTATATATTTATACAATAGTAAAAAATGAGCGACTAATTCACTTTTATCACTAGATTATACCGCAATACCAAAAGTTTGCACACTGACGTAATAAATTAAATTATATTGTATTCAGTTTGTGATAAGTTGAGCACGATGTCAGTCTAAAATGCGAAAAGTAGAATTTGCATGCGCATGTCCACTACATTTTCTACACCTGTCATATGTTGCCATCAGTGGAGTTTTCAGTATACTTGGAAATCAGAACTACACAGAAAATTAACATAAAACAAAAACAACAGACTGGAACAAATACAGACAAAAAATCGGACAAACCCTAACACTAAACAACAATATTGACAACCCTCAATTGCTTCAACAAACTACACAAGAATTCATCAAAAGCTAGAGACGACTCTACAAAAATAAAGACAACGACTTCACACAAAGACATACTGCCACAAGAAATCATAGATCTAATCGCGAATAAAAATCAAATACGCAAAAGGTAGCAGTTACACAGGATATATAAAGACAGGGTAAGTCTAATGGATATTGCCAAATATACTAATATTCAAATAAATGAACACCGCAACAGTATCTGGCAAATAACAATAAAAACCGGCAAATAATCGGGTTAATAACCCTCAACACGATCGAATTGAAAACATTGTCAACAATTTAGGGGCAACGGGACCAGTACACATTCCTTTTTTACTACCTCTTCTAAAGAGATCGGGGAAACAATCAAGTTCCTCAAAAACAGAAAAGCTCCGGGGCCGGATGGCATTAGTAACATTCTAATTAAAAACATCCCTAAAAAGGGATTGTACAATTTAATTACATAAATCCAATTTTCAGGCTGCAACATTACCCCAGCTGCCTGAAAATTGTTAATATTATCCCTTTTTTAAAAGCAGCTAAAAACCCGAATAGATTAGACATCTGTTTAACACAATCGCAAAAGTAGTAGACAAAATCAATTTCAATAGACTCAAAAAGACAGAAGACCAACTACAACTTATCTCAGGAACAGTACGGATTCAGAAATGGACACAGCACCGTTGTACAAATCATTCGAATTGTACATAATGCCAAAGAGGCATCAAACTTTAATAAGCAAACGGTGTTGGTGGCGCTAGACAGCGAAAAAGCTTTTGATTTCGTCTGGACCTGTGGGTTAATTCATAAAATGCTTGTGAATGATTTTCTGGTTCACGTTGAAAAATTATTAAATCTTACGTAACAGACACTTCAACGTGAAAATAAATACAGGACCTTTCACTGCGCAAGCGGGAGTACCCCAGGGCGCAGTACTGTCGCCTTACTTGTACTTCATTATGACCCATGATTTTCTAGTGGGTAATAATAGGGTACAAACGGCACTGTACGCCGATGATATCTGCCTCTTCAAGAGCTGTCAGACGCCTGGACATCCATATAAACAGGAAGTTACTCCCTTATCTAACTAAAATAAAAATCAATGCAGGGAAAACGGAAAGCATGTTGAACACAAAAAGATCTCAAGGCATACACATTCAATTAAAAATCGAAAATGTGAATATTGAGACGGGTAATAAATGAAATACCTAGGTTTGATCTACATATTAAAGACAGTATGGCTAAAAGTCATATATTGCGATTAAAACGCTTTATCCTATTCTGAATAGAAGGAAAGTCACTCTGTCTAACAAACTCCTTATGTTTAAAACTATTTTAAGGCCCATCCTGACATATGGATGTCCAGTTTTTTGCTCAATGGCAAATTCATACTACAGCAAACTTCAAGTAGCTCAAAACAGATGTCTTCGGCTAGCACTGCGGTACGACCGCTATGCCAGAATAGCCGACATGCACAGACAGCTGTGCCACGTCTTCTCGTTTCACTTGTGGTGAAGTGGAAGTCGTGGGTGGCATCAGGCTGTTATTTAGAATAAGTGATTTAAAAGGGTAATTAATCTAATGAAAAATGTTTGTATGTATAAAAAAAAGTAAAAAATTAAATCTCTAACGTTAGGTAATAGGGACTTAAGCCTTTAATACCAATTGAAAGAGCCTAACATTCTGACTTAATAACTTAAGCCCTTTGTACCCGACTTCAAAAAAATATAAATTGGTAAAAGCAGATATTCTTAAAAAGCGGTGGAAGCTCCAAGTTAGTATTAACAGTATACTAATTTATTTATTTATTACAATATCCTCGGGAGAGTCCAATTACAGGATAAGGACAAACAGCAAAATACAGAAACAAAAAAAAATAATAATACAAAGCAGTATATCTGTTAAGCTATATATGAATGCTCACTGGAAAAAAAGTAAGCACTCATATGCAGCTATGTTCTAAGATTACACACATGGGTACATATGAAATTATTGACCAAATTCTGGACATCCGTCCTTCCTACAAATTTCCCCGAAGAATGGTTTTTTTAATTTCAGCAGCTTTTGTGCAAAAAATATCAATACTAGGTTCAATTGAAGAGTAGTCAATGATGAGCTGATTCAACGGAGAAAATTTGTAAATATTTGTCTTATGTGGTAATTCATAAAAAAGACTGTTGGTTCTAGAATTTGGTCTAGGAACTCTGAAATTTAGTGACGATACAATATCACATTTAAAAATATAGTTAACAATTATCAAAACGAATATAAAAGTGTTCTTGAGGTGTGCCTCTAGCGGGATAAAGACCGTCCAAGATATAAGAAGCCGACTTAAAGTATCTTCTTTGCACTCGCTCCAAAGCGGTAATATGAATATTATAATTCGGGCTCCAAATAACACAAGCATATTCTAGTTACGATCTTACAAAAGCCGAAAACAAAAGATTCAATGTATTAATATTATTAAAACATTTCGCATTTCTAAGAATAAAACCCAGCGACCGATATGCTAAAGAGATTATTTTTTGTATATGAGGAATAAAAGATAACTTTGGATCAAAATAAACACCTAGATCTTTTAGGATATCTGGTCTGTCGAGGATATTACTTAAATTGTAATTAAATTGGATAGCTGATTCTTTCCGACAGAAAGACATTACGTTACATTTACTTGGATTCATAGGGAGCTTATTTCGGATACACCAATTATTAACATGATTAAGGTTTCGCTGGAGGTTCAAGCAGTCATTGACGGAGTTTATCTCACAGAATAGTTTAATATCATCAGCATATATAACAATATCAAGATCTTCGGTGATGTCATTTATAAAAATATTAAAAAGTAAAGGACCCAATATAGACCCCTGTGGGACACCGGAAGTTTGAAGAAAAGGTTGAGATTTATATCCTAATTTGAACGTATTGAGTGCGTTCATAAAGATAAGATTTAAATACAGCAATTAACCTGTCATCTATTCCGAATAAGTTAGGCTTATGTAAAAGTAGGCCATGATCAATCTTATCAAATGCTTTAGAAAAGTCAGTGTAGATAATATCAACTTGACTTTTCTTCTCCAGCGTTTCACAAATGAATTGGGTTACGCAGAATAGATTAGTCACTGTGGACCTACCAGATGTGAAGCCATGTTGTTCGGGTATGATAATATTACTGGCATGAAATGCAAGGTGATTATGGATTACTAATTCGAATACTTTTGCGAAATTGCTTAGAATAGCTACTGGACGATAATTACTTGTCATTTTTTGTGCCTTTTTTAAATATTGGACAAATTCTAGAAACCTTCCAACAGTCAGGAAACTTTTTAAGTTTGAGAATGGTATTAAAAATGGTATACAGAGGTTTACTGAATATATATGCAATCTTTAACTAAGAACGCCGGAATTAAATCGGGACCATTAGTCTGTTTTGGCTTTAGTTTTTTAGCAGCAACCAAGATTTCTAGTGCTATCATTAAATAAATAAAATGTTGCCGTAACGTAAGTCCCGATTCCCAAAGTCTGAATTTTGTATTTTTATGCATAGCCCAATCGGATTAGTATTTTAGATTCTGAAAAATTCGAAGCAGCAATTTTCCTTCGGAATTCGTTGGAGGGGGTCTCTGGTAGTCTAAATTCAAAAAGTTGGGATTCCAAAGTTGTCGTTACCTCCGCCATCTTGATTTAAAGGGTTATTTTTTGTATCTTGAATAACTCATTTATTTTCAATTTTACACGGAAAATAGTTTTTACAAAAGTTATTTAAAATTAAATTTCCTACAATTCTGCTTTTTTTTGTACGATCGATTTTTTTTCGATTTATACCCGAAAAGAGGGGGTGAATTTTTGGTTATAGAATAACTCGTTTATTTTCAATTTTACGAGAAAAATTGTTATAAACAAAGTTGTTTAAAATTAAATTTCCTACAATTCTGTTTTTTTTTTTTGTACGATCGATTTTTTTCGATTTATACCCGAAAAGAGGGGGTGAATTTTTGGTTATAGAATAACTCGTTTATTTTCAATTTTACGAGAAAAATTGTTATAAACAAAGTTGTTTAAAATTAAATTTCCTACAATTCTGTTTTTTTTTTGTACGATCGAATTTTTTGTATTTATCCCTGAGAAGAGTGGGGGTGAACCTAAGTATTGTATTGTCACGTTTATTATTGATGTTGTACCATTATTTTTTCTGTTTTTTTTTGCTGATTTTCAAAAATGTTATTTGGTACAATTATGATTCCGAGTTTACCCCCACTCTTCTCAAGGATAAATACAAAAAAATCGAGCGTACAAAAAAAAAACAAATGTAGGAAATTTAATTTTAAACAACTTTGTTTATAACAATTTTTCTCGTAAAATTGAAAATAAACGAGTTATTCTATAACCAAAAATTTACCCCCTCTTTTCGGGTATAAATCGAAAAAAATCGATCGTACAAAAAAAAGCAGAATTGTAGGAAATTTAATTTTAAATAACTTTTGTAAAAACTATTTTCCGTGTAAAATTGAAAATAAATGAGTTATTCAAGATACAAAAAATAACCCTTTAAATCAAGCTGGCGGAGGTAACGATAACTTTGGAATCCCAACTTTTTGAATTTAGACTACCAGAGACCCCCTCCAACGAATTCCGAAGGAAAATTGCTGCTTCGAATTTTTCAGAATCTCAAGCCTGTTCTTCACCTAATCCGATTGGGCTAGCAATAGATAAAGAAAAAAACATTTAAATTATATGTTTAAATATCAAAGTTTTCGAATATTCTCAGTATTCCGATATTTAAATATTCGAGTATGGAATACTTAGTTGAATTAGTCGAATATTCAAATACAATTCCGAGTCCTACTTAAAAGTAAGATTGATCGCCAAACTTTTCAAAATTATTAAAAACAAGTTTGAAAAATAAAATATTCATCTAATCCTAAAAACTATATATTACACGCCACTAAACAAACGTTTCACTTTCCTTGTTCGATCGCGAGGCCCCAAAACATTCATTGACGGCAGTTTGCAAACTTTCGGGGCCACAATTTTTATCAACTTTGCATAGTGAATTTTATATCATTTTAGATTAGTAAAAAGAAGACTTGAAACTGTTATATGTGAAGCAAACTCAATTTTAAGCAGATTGAAAATGAGTGGTCCCAAAACCGTACATGAAGGCAGACCAGAAATTTTACAGATAAACTGAACAAATTGATTTATACATAAAATCCTTCAATATGTAATATAATAAAATGTATATTGATTTATTTTAATTTCTTTTCGTAAAACCAACTATTTTTGTCCTATAGGCAGAGAAAGCTGTATATATTCAATTAACAGGTTGGATGCCGATCTCCTTTGAATGCACTTTGCCCGGTCCCAAAAAGATAAATTAGAGTTAAACTACATATAATGATCTAAAAATTAATTGTCAGCATGTTAAATAATTGATACCTATCCAAAAAAGGAGATAAAAGAAAAAAAAAACTGACGCTTATAAGCGGCAGTTGCACTGAATATCACACTTCGTTAGCACGTGCCGTCAACGCTTATAAGCGACGAGCCTACCTTAAGTGAAATTATTTTATTCATGAGTTTTAAAAGCAACAATACACATTAAAAAAAAAAAGACAACAAAGTGTTTCAAAATGCAAAATATTACAGAATTAAAATAATTTGGTATTTTTAAAAACCTAAAATTATTAAAAAAAAATAGGTAAAAATATTTTATTTATGAGTTATAATACAATTGAGACAATACCCTGGACTTCCAGGACATGTTTCGCATTCAAATGTTGTATCCGTACGTATATTGCGTCGCTCTGAGCACATTTTGCATCTTTTTCGAGACACTTGCTTTTTACCCGGTGTAGCTTCTCGTTTTCTGAGCCTGTGTCCGTTATTTTTAGGTATTTCTGCATTATTTTCCATGGAAGTTGGCAAAAGTTTTTTAATAACGGCCACTCTAAAATCAAAGGATGATATTTTGTGTCCAGAATACTTATTGTACAAATGGAAGGCATTGATTAGCATCATTTCAATAATGTGGAAAAAGTTTTTTTGGCCAACGAATGGTTTTCCTTTCATGTAGATAGTAGGACAACATTTGGTCGTGGTGGTCAATACCAGACATATATTTATTATACTCCGCTATAGGCAACGGCTTCGAAACTCTTTGCTTTCTTTTGGTTACTACTTCAACCATTCCATTTTCATATTTATTTGAAATATAGAGGACGTCTCTTTTATCCTTCCATTTACCTATAGTAACCCCTTTGGCATACCTTGCAATAGTTTCTCCATTTTTGAGTTTGGTAGAAATTACAATATCTGGTTTCTTTCCTGTTTGATCGTAATGTTCCAGTGCAATGAGTCTGCTTCTCCAATAGGGTTCTGGCCAAAGCAAAACTGTTGTAATAATTCTTCCAATAAACGTAATACAATCTTTTGAGAATGTCCTTTCCGCCTGTATCATCTAACATGCCAGTATACACAGCAAATTTCTGAACAATACCTCTAGGATTTGTCAGCATGTACAATTTGATGCCATACTTATGTTTTTTATGTATTGTTTGAATATTAGTCTGCCGCGAAAAAGCACCATTGACTCATCCAGCGATACTCACATCCAGGGGAAAATACTTCAGCCATTTTTTCATTAAAAAAATTTATCATTGGTCTAATTTTGTAAAGCATATCTTCAGGTTTTGGTTCAGTTGGTCCAGGATCTCTCGAAAAGTGAAGTGCACGTAATATCAATAAAAATCGATTTCTACCCATACTGCCTGCAATTCCTTTATTGTGGAATAAAGGATCTTTTTTCCAGTAATCACGCATTCTTGGCTGTCGTACAACACCCATATGTAGAAATATTCCCAAGAATATCAATAATTCATCCTGTGTCACTGGTTTCCACGAAGAAATTCTAGACTTTTCTTTTGTCATTGCCGTTACGAAAATATTTTCCGCATTGATATTGGTTTCATCAACTACTAATTGTAAAATATCGTCAGTCAGTAAACTACGAAAAAAACCCAACGGAGTGTTTTCAGATGGTACAATTTTGAATGCCTCATTGCACACAAACGGGAAATCTTTCATATCAATAGGATCGTTTTTCCAATCAACATCTGACTCGTTATCTGAGTTTTCTTCAATTCCACATTTTTCTGCTTCGTTTACAGTATCGATAATTATATTAGAATTATCTTTGTGGTTTTCATCTTCACTCTTAAGAGTCCGTCCCTGACCCAAACCATTCATTATCTGATTTTGGCGCCAATTCAAAATCACTTTCCTCGTCACTATTTTTTAAAAGTTCTAACAATTCTTCATCCGTATACTTATGAAAAGGGCTTTTTTAATTGTGAAGGCCCTGCCATAGCGTTATCACTTTGCATTGTCCCAAAAATTCCAAAAAACGCGAAAAAAAAGAACCACGTGTATTTTTGATCTCTAAATACCTTTACTTCAGTGCCTGCAAACATACACTAACACAAATGCGATCCCGACCAAACTGACTAACCAAACCCATTAAAGCACATAACGCTTATAAGCGGCAGTGGTACATGCGCAAAACATTTTCTGACGCTTATAAGCGACAGTGGCATCCAACCTGTTAAAAGAACAAATTGGTAAACTGCTTACAAGGAAAGCCATTGTGAAGTTTTCAATGTTTATTGATCACAGGGAAACAAAATAAAACGCAATCAAATCTACATACTAAATTTTATTATTACAATACCAACTAAAAACAGTACTTTTACTTCCTAGAAGAATAGTCCATATTCTCTTAAAGTTTAGTAAAAAAGGATACTTTACACAAGCCGTTTAGGAGCAAAATGTTTTCCTTCCAATACGCATCCATGAAAAAAATTAAAAATAAATATACCTATCACATCAAAAAGAAAAATAGTAAAAAAAAAAGGGAAAATGTAGGTCCGCACAAGCTATTCTACAGGTAGTCCCGTGCCGCGACGTACTGACGAAAAAAAACTTGCCAGCTGTCACGTCAAACGTCAAGACAGTTCATTGCACGATAAAAGGAAACTATATAGGTAGTATGATCAAGTTTATGCAGAGAGAAAACTCTACAATTTAAATGGACCCGAAAACTACCTTCCAGTTCTTAAAACTTGTCCGTTTATTCTACATTATATATATATAAAAAAATCTCATTTTAATGTCAAACTAATTAGTCCATTTCATTTGTTGATATTGATAACGTCGATTCGGAGTATAAAATTTATACATTTGTCCAAATTTTTATTTCTAACCAGTCATTCCAACTGTAATAAATTTGACAAATCGAAATACAAATTTGTCACAAATGACATACAAGACTGGAAACAAGGATTTTTAGGTGTTATATTTTTTATTGTCTCAAAAAAATCAATTAGCAAAAACGTACAAAACTTTGGCAACTGTATGAAATCGAACGTATTAAAAAAAATAAGTGTCCAGAAAAAGGATATGCAAATTCTAACCTCATAGATTACACTTCACCAGCGTATTTAACATCATGTTTCGGTTCAAACGTTTCAATTTTATACTTACTTGTTTTATCACTTCCATCTCAATTAAATGGACATATTTTGGCATTTTTTAAGGACGCCCGCCTTTCACAAACTTTTCTAGACACTTCATTAAAAAAAATGCAAACAACAAAGAGGAAACTGTACTTTACACTTTCTTTCAAAAGAGTATATTTCACATATGATTTCAATTTAAACCTACTCCGTTATTTAACTAAAAAATAGGATGTTACAGACAAACTTAAAAGGTATATGTGCAGTGTTCGAAATTCACACCATTTTCAAAGCGCTTTTTCAGCGCTTCGAAAATTGATAGTTGGATATATTATTAAGTATGCACCGTAAATTGTTAGATACAAAGTTAACATTTTTGTGATGACTCATTTTGCTACAGAAATATCGATTTGTCAAAAAAGAAATTTCAAAAAAAAAAAAATGTTACCAAACTCAACAAACAACTAATTTACAGTATGGCATTGATTTCCGAGCGACCTAGTATACTTTAGTAAAACCTCACAAGTTTCAATTTGTCCACGCTCAAAAATATGCTGCCTAAAATGTAGTTCGGTAAATTTAAGCGCCTGTTATTGGCGCCTCCTTCGTAGATGTCGCAAATCTCGAACACCGAGTATGTGAACACTGAAGACATACAAATGATAAATGATAGATGAAAAAATATGCCATTCTTGGCGAAGGGAGTGACCTCGTTGGAAGTAGCTGGGTTAAAAAGGAATCACGTCGCATAACGCTTGGTCCACAATCGCGCGATGCGGTCATGTTCTTCACGATTTTGCAGGTATTGTGTCGCTATGCTGCCTACCAATGGATCAGCTAAAAAAATAAAACGTGTTTGTAAGGTAATAAAAAAGCTGCACTCACAAATTTAGTATAATATATACGATATAACAAAGGACCTATTTTCAAACTTGAAAGAATTCATTTCTTTCATGATTGTTATACAGAAATGTTAAACATCAATGTGAAATAATATATTAAAATCAGGGTTCAGAAGATATATATCATGATATTTATGCTTTGATATATATCAGATATATCCGAAAATTTTATTTATTAAATTTAAAATGTTTTTCACCATTACAAACATCCGAAAATGTTTCAATACGCCCCTGTACAAAAGTATAACAATAATTTTGTTTTGTTATTGCTTTTATTTTCCAAATAATCGCTCGTTTTGTGTTTCCCCTCTGTGTTGACTGTTGTGTTAAGTTAGTTGTGATTTTTATTCAATATATGGAAACCAAATGGAAAAACATATTTTAACACACCAAAAAATATGTCCATCGATACGCTAAGCCATGACTGTCCCTAAAGATGTTCTGACTTCTTTAAAAAAAAGTGTCAACACATCAGGTAATTGTTATATTTATTACTAAATCTGTCTAGACAATTTTTGTGTGGATATCGTAAGTAAAAATAATTAAAAAGCATGTATTGTAAGATAATAAAAATATTTTAAACAATATTAACTTCTCATTTATTCAATAAAAGAAAATCGAAAAATTGAAAATTCGAAAAATCAAAAAAGAATTCCATAACGAAAATAAACCTAACACCCCCCAGTCCGACCGGCACAGCGGTGTGGCGTTGAAAGCCGTGCATCATCTAACGTCGTTTCAGTTCGGCAGACTTCGGCACGCTGTTTGTGTGCGTGCGACTAGCTGCTAACTGCTCATAACTGATTCTATCTCTTTTAGACACAATTTCGGAAAAATTGAATTTCAAAATGAATAATGATCCACAAGAAAATATGGGACCACCATTGACGTGGTATTTTCCAGATATTTAGAGGATATCAATTCTCAAACTTTCAAAGTTTCTTATTTCAGTTACCATAAACCTACAGTTTCAATGAATAACCTACATGTATTGTAAGATAATAAAAATATTTTAAACAATATTAAACTAGGGGGTGGGTGGCTCAGTGGTAGAGTCTATGCCTGTGGATCCAAGGGTCCCAGGTTCGAATCCCACCGTTGGTAGGATTCCCCACTCGACCATTCACTGCTGGGTTCTAATTAACAGTACTGTTCCTAAAGTGGCGCTGGGAAACAGTAACAAAGCCTACACAGAACACGCGGCGAAATAGCCTTAGCAGTTGAAGCCAATGACACAAAAAAACAATATTAAACTTCTCATTTATTCAATAAAAGAAAAAAAATTGTTTTCTTAACGGTCACCACGCTCAAAAAGTGTAACTTGAATTAATATCAAAGAAAAAAAAATACTGCATAAATAAAATAAATAAATAATTATAACTGCATAAGTTGATAAAAAATGCTATGCGATAGCTTTACCGCGGCAGTCCTCGAGTGCCACAAGTATTTTTTTTTAGAGATTTATATGCCTCAGAAAACAAAAAAAAAAAACATTCTAACCATGGCAATAGCCGTTGATGTTATTGCAACCTCAGACACGTATTCTAAAGAATTTAACCTCCAAATAGGCAGATATTTTTACGCAACTAATACACCTTTTCTGCATGCTGATCATACTGAATTTAAGAAAATGCTGAATTCTTTACAGCCCGGTTATAATGAAAACCGGGAAAGATGATGAGAATCAGGAGGGAGAAGAAGCAAGGGGAAGAATTACAATAGAAAAAATACTCTTAATACTGAAGAAAAAAGTATGAAGGAAACGTTAACGAGAGGTGATGGAAAATATGAATAAAAATATGTAAAAAATGATTGAAACCCGAAAAGAAGACAAAGAAGAGATAAAACAATTGAAGAAAACAAAAAACAAGTTATTATACGATGAAATTATGATTAAGAAAATGGAGGAAAATACATTTAAAGACAAAGAAGAATTCAAGAACTGAAACAAAACAAGGAAAAAAATGGTTACAAAATTAGAAGAACTTAAAATAGATTTAGAAGATATACTGGAGACAACAGGACAAACTGTAAGAGTGGAAATGATTGAAAGAATAACAAAGGTTGAGAAATGGCAACAAGTGTAAATTAAAAATTTAAAAAACCCGACTTCAAAAACGCGCAGATGCCATCACAACATCTTAACCAAATTTATATGGGATCACCCTTGAGGTACCCCCTTTCTAACAAAAAAAGAATCATATAAATCGGACAAGGTAGTAAAGCATTATCGCTAAACATACATAAAAAATGAAGAGTTTGAGGATTTTCTCATGGACCCAATTTTTAGATTTTGACCAAATTTATATGGGACCACCCCTGAAGTAGCCCCTTTCTAACAAAAAAAGAATTATTGAAATCGGACACCGTGTTAAAGAATTATCGCTGAACATACATAAAAAAAAAAATATCGCGACGAATTGATAACCTCCTCCTTTTTTGAAGTCGGTTAAAAAGAAAAATGTGAAGTATTTGCAGAAGAAGAAACAATTTAAAGCAGAAATAAAAGAATAAAGAGAATAAAACTGAATGGACAGGATACTGTAGAAAGAAGTAGTAGAAAGGATAATAGAAAATCAGGTAGAGAGAACGAACAATGGAAACAAAGATAGACAAGATCGAGAAAGAAATAAATACAGTAACAGGAAATATAAATACAAGAATATTCCAAACGGAAAATTATAAGGAAAAGAAATGAACAAAAAACTAGCAGAAATGGAAGGAAAGTTAAAAAAATTACAAAACGAATATGAAAAAAAATAAAACGGAAATACCAACTACATGACAAGAAATAAACACAAATATGAGGGAGAGAACAGGAAAATTCATCCGAGAGTATTTATCAAATTATAAAAAATAAAATAAAAAACATTAAAATATAATATAGGAAAAAATTATTTCTAGAAGTTATCTGTTTATACTTACTTGAACCTCCCTTGGAAGCAAGACAATCTGCTCTAATGACACACGACTTATAGAATGGATAGTAAAGGCGTTTAATAAAGTAAGTTTAGATAGTGTAATATTACTATTTAGAGGTAACATTACAAAGTGGCGCCCAACATGGGGCAATAAAACTGGGGGACCTTCTGGAAATTTCCAAGGTCCCCAAAAAAAAATTATACAATAGCAACTTCTGTCAAACAATTATTGGGGCATAAGCTTAGCTGATAATAGATTGTATCGAATGTTCACAGCCAATACTAGATAAGACGGCAAAAATAGAAAAATTACTTTTATATAGGTATCAAACCGGTTTTAGTGATTTTTCTGTTAATATGCTGTTTTGTGAAATTTCATATCCAAGTATTGTTAACTGGTAGGTATTCAGAAAAAAAAAAAACGATAACGATATATGAGTAAAGATCTTTTTTTTAAACTCTTCATTAATCAATAGAGCGAAAATTTGATAATATATTGTCTTTATTTCAGTACATCTATAGCAAACTAAAATTTAGAAAAAAAAAAGCAATTCATTTAATTGATATAAGTAATATGTACTATAAACTGACGCAGGCAAATCATCAAAAGCATTTATTTGTAATTAAAAGAACACAAAAATACACGGCAATATCTTCAAAATTAAATTTTATTACTTATCGGGTTTTCGCTCTGGACCTTCAGTATATTTTTTAGAGTATCTAATCCCTTGAAATGGTAAATTCGGCGCATTTGACAATCACGCCTAAGCTCATTATATTCCGTATCGTATTACATGATAGCAGATAGCGTCTATAAATCCCTACATTTCTGTAATTTGTTTTAAAGAATTCACAATTTTACATTCTTGCTCCCTCCCCCCCTTCCCCAGGAAAAAGATCTGGCGGCGCCCATGTAAATGTTGTTTGTAACTCAAATAATTTTTTAGTAGTTACATAATATATTATCTAAAGACAAATCAAATCATTCTTATGGACCCGGACTAATTTATTTTGCCTTGTCCTTCTATGACCTGGTCTTATATCTTTTCAGGCATTATAACGATTTGCTTTGCTTAAATGCCCATTTTAAGAAAATTACTTTAAAAAATACTGCCTTTATTTAGGGATTGACATCTAAAGATGTTCAAACCTGATGGATGGCTCCTTTCATCATTGGGGTCGTTTTGGTTAAATTTGAGTTGCAAATATTTAAAATTGTATGATAAGGCTAATAGGTCTGTCAAAATTATAAATATGTATGTTTTAGAATTGAATTTTTATCATTAATCATTGCTACAAGGGACATGCAAATGAGACATTTGCTAATAGCTAAAACATGACCGGACTTTCAGACAAAATCATCCCTTATTTCCACATATGTCAACACATTTAACAAACACAATAGCTAGGATCTTGCCTTAACAAGGGCTTAAAGAATTTTTTTCAAGCTTGCTTTTCCAATAAAAACTCGAAAGGCAACATCAAATGAAATGTACTGAATCTATATTCTTTAAAAAAGGCTTTTATATCATGTGTAACCCATAAAAAGGATTACTTATAATATGTATTAATAACAAATCAAAACAAGTATTTAACCTTTAAAGGTTTCTAAATTACACCCTTTTCCAATTATTACTATTTAAAATAAAAATTTCCATTGCAAAACAAAGTTTTTTTGTTATGTATGTCTTTCTAAAAAATTATTTTATTATGTGAGTTCTTATCACTATTTTCAGATATCAAGGTACTAAAAATAATCTGAAAACAAGTAACTAAAGACATCCCCAATTGTTAAAGCCATCTTAAGTTTATTTTAATTCACTGGTACATTGGACCAATACACATCCATAAAAATGTTACTCACCATCATGGCCTGGAGGAAAATATATATATAAAATCTCATTTAAAAAAGATACCAACAAAATATCAATTGTTCACCTTGGAACTGCATCCAATGACTTTACTCATGCCACAAGAATGTTCTAACCATTCTTAATTCTATTGGTCAAATGCATTGGAAAACAAACAACAAATGCAATACTAAACAAAATAAAAAAAAACTAATTTAAAAAACGAATATTTATTAAAAATTTTAATCTTTGAAGATATATGCATATCACATAATAACTTTGGTCATATATAAGACATAAAAAAATTAAAATTTAATTTTTTTTTTAATTAAAAATCTTAACTAAAAGTTTTAATTTTCTTTTAACATATGAAATTATTTAATTCAAAGCAGTTAATTCAAACACCTTAAATACTATTTGAATAACTTACTAGTGATAAGCAAAATATTTACAGTACATTTTGATAATAACAAAATTGTTTTGATATAAATATCAGCTAATAAATAAAAAGGTCTCTTTTAATATTTATATACACAACTTACAATATTAATATTTCTCTGTGTATCTTTATTTTAATATGTTTGTTATTGTCAAGGAATCACAAGTAGATAAAATACAAAATGAAGTCTGTCAACATAGAATCTGTGAATACTTGTAGAATATTACAAGATAATTTTATTGTTTGTTTTTCTAGTATACTAGCTAACTTTTAATACAAATACTTATATTATAAAAATAGAATTGTCTAGTTTATTCACTCTAATAATCTAAATATAGTATATTTTTTAAATATACATTTTTTAGTGATTATTGCCAATTTTTTTTTACTGTAATGCATTTTAACATGAAAACTAAACTTCACAGCTGTAAAACAAAAAGATGGGGTTTCTGTTATTTTAAATAGTTTGTAATCTTCCCCATATTTTATTAAACCAGAAAATGGAACAGTGTTTCCGAAACATGTAGTGCTTGTACTTAAATTTTATAAAAACAACCGAATAAACCAGTGAACTTTTTATTCATATAAAATTTTACTATGGTCAGGAATATATCCTTATTCAAAGAAAATATCAAAAACTGGTAATTAAACCCATTTTCAACATAAATTTAAAATAAGATAGATATGGTAAAAAATAAGAAAAAAATCTTACCTGGATTGCAGTCAGTAAGCAGGGAACAAATTGACAATAGAACCTTGGAAATAGTTAAAGCAGGTGACCAGTTGTCCTTCAAAATATCTAAGCAGATAACTCCCTGGCTGTTGATATTGCAATGGTAAATTCGAGTGCGGAAGGTCACCTTAGGAGGCTTGAATGGATACTCAGGTGAAAAATGTATGTCAAGAAAGAACACACCCCCTTCATAAACAGATCCAGGGGGGCCCAAAATGGTCGAAACCCACTCATAGAAGTTCTCCCCTTTGGGTCCAGCACTGCAATTTGGTGGCGGGTCTAAAGTTATTTCTGCTAACTCTTTCTGGATCCTTTTGGCTGAAGTTCCTAGTGCCTTGGACATTTTGGGATTTGGTTTTGATTCTTTAGATTCTTTTTGATCGCCCACGGCGGCCTGACCCCCTCTGCCGCGGCCCGATCCGCTTGAACCAGCTGATGACATTTTCCAAACTGAAGAAAAAATAAGTCCTTTGTTCAAATCTATAGAACTATTAAGCCGGTTTTTAAACGAAAAATAAAGCGATAAAATGCAAGGTCAGCTAGGAAACACATACTTCTGACATTATAATGCTGAATGCAGGTAGATTCATTCGGAATGTGACCCTTTGCAAAATTAAAATTGATTCTTGTCACAAGTCGGCCATTTTGAGAATTGGTCAGTTCAATTTATAATAATCGTATTCTACAGTGCAAAAACGTACTTGGAATCAATTTTTTGATTGCAACCAGACCTTGTAATGCATTTTTAAACAGAAAACGCAAAATGATAACGCAACAATATCGTATTACATCTTCCTTTCATCTGCATTTTTTCACCTGCTTGCAACTTTCTTTTCAATTTTCTCCTCGATATACACAGCTCATATGAGTATAAACTAAACTAGATTAAATATGAATACAAGAAGGTAAAAAATACTTACATATAAATCCTTGCTATATATTAAAACTGAAAACAAATTACACTCCCTTTTCACAAGTTTTGGCTCATGGCGTACTTGTAAAACTTATGAAAGGAACCGGAACAGTGTTGCCAACTTTGCGCAAAGAAAATACTTAAAAATTATTCAGAAAAAAATTAGTATATCTACGATATTTCTCGAATTATACTGAATATTAACCAAATATTTAACAACCAGCAACCTAATACTTACCTCATAAATCGTATAATTTATCTCCAATACGCAAAAATCTTTTTATCGGTTAATTGTGCCGGGTTCTTGGGAACAATAATTTTCTTTATGTTGGATGTCTGATTGTTTTGACAATTAGTCAAAACGTAACCTCAAAGTGAAAAATCAACAAAAATATTTGTGTATTATTATTATTAGTGAAAGTTTTTAAAGTTTTTCAAAATGGGGAAAAGACAGCATCAAAAGGATAAAATGTACTTAACGTACACCGAATGGACAACATTGTACGGAGGGAAGAAAAGTGGTCATACGTCCAAAGAAGCAGAAAATTTCAAAAGACTTCCATTCGATCACTGCTGTTTGTCTTTGCAGCCTTATCAAATCCCTTACTGCGATTTAGACGGGAATATATTCGATTTGGAACCTCTGATTCCGTTCTTAAAGAAGTACAAGATAAATCCCGTTACTGGCAAACCTCTAGATTTCAAATCATTAATACAGTTAAATTTTACTAGAAAAAGTGAAGGAATGCTTGAATGCCCAGTATTATTTAAACCCTTTACCAACAGCTCCCATATCGGTGCAATTGCAACTACAGGAAATGTGTTTCTTATGGAAGCTATTGAACAGTTAAATATTAAAAACAGAAACTGGAAAGATTTGATCACAGATCAACCATTTGAAAGAAAAGATATTATTGTAATCCAAGACCCCAATTATCTAGATAAATTTGATATTTCGAAGTTTCATCATGTTAAGAACAACCTTAGAGTAGAAACCGAAGGTAAAATATAATAATATATATGTTGAAAGTTATTATTTTTATTTTTTTAGAGGAAATTGCTGACAAATCTAACCCACAAGCACGACTAAAATCTATCAATCCAGAAACAAAATATACCTTGGAAGAATTAAACAAGGAATACAAGTCTCCAACAATAGAAATTAATAAAAAAGAAAGTACAGAGAAAGCTGACAAATTCAATGCCGCTCATTATTCCACAGGAGCTGTAGCTGCTAGTTTCACATCAACTACTATAAGACCTCAGCTGGAACATGAGGCAGCTATAGTACATGAGGATGATGTTAGATATGAAAGGGTCAAGAAAAAAGGTAACAATTCAGATTCATATTTAACATTATTAAACATTTTGTTGTTGTGTAGGTTATGTGAGACTTGTTACGAATGTGGGTATGCTAAATGTTGAATTGCATTGTGATATGGTGGCAAAAACTTGTGAGAATTTCATAAAACACTGTGAAAATGGATATTATAATGGGACGAAATTCCACAGATCTATAAGAAATTTTATGGTAAGTTAAAAATATCCTACTGTACTTATTTCTAAATTAACAGACTGTGTCCATGTCCAGTTTACTGGACGCAAGCTTTTTTAATGACAACACATGCCCAGTTAACTTGTACATGTTCCTATAAATGGTGGTCTATATTACTGAGGTTTTGGAACAGGCATTGGGCAAAGATTTACTCTAAAAATGTTTAACTTATCTCAAATTGTTGGTTTTTTTACTTAACACTGGACTCTGGTGTTCGCTATGATGCTATGAAATGAAAAAAATATACTGGCATCTAGTTACCTAACTGGACAGCTGTTAAAAGATGTCAATATAACAGATATCTTCCAAATACATCCAATTTATGGCTACAGTTACATATTTTATATTTTTATTATAAAAATTTAAGCTGGGTTTTGAGCAGAGATTGCTCTGACCCAGTGGGTACTGAACCTGATAAATATGTATTTGTCTATATTATGTAATGTTGTAATGTAATTCAATATGTATATTATTGACAAGCGGGTTGAAATTTAACTTTTTCTTTCTTATTAAGACCAGGGTTGGAAAACCTAAGAAATAAAAAATATATAAGTAGGTTTTTTAAGTTTTTTTTTGTGGTTTTTTAAGGTTTTTAGAGGTTTTTATTATAAATATGTCAAAAGTTGTTATTAATAAAGTTAAACAAAAAGTAGAGTTTTATTATATTAAAAAAATCACATTCTACAAACAAATAAAAAAAAAAACAAAAAAATAAATAAATGTTTTTTTTAATTGTCACTATCATTAATATGAATATCAAGAAGTCACAAAAGTATAGAAATAGAAATATTTTATTCTCAATAATACATATATAAACATGTTTACATAGTCGTCAGTACACATAAATGGTAAAATACACCACATTTTACATACATTAAAATACTCGTATAAAATTTAAAATAAAATAGGATTTTAAAAAATCATGGTTGGTAATAGTAATAAAAAATATATAAAAAAAATACAATATTAAAAATATTAGGTGACATGTTTCACTCTTACAAAATAATCATTAGTGTTATATAGACACATGTCCAGTAATATCTTTTTAATTTGATGTTTAAACTTTTTTCCTGGTAGATTACGGATGTGGGGCGGAAATGCATAATAAAGGTTTACTAAGTTTATTTTTGTAATATACACTTTGTTGTCTGTTTTGCAAATAAGAAGCAATCATCTTATTTGCAATGCCTCTAATGCCATATTTATCTAGTTTGTTGATTAACAATGTTTGACTTACACAGTCAAATGCTTTAGACAGATCAGTGAATATAGCTACGCATTGTGATTTGTTTTCTAAAGACTCCTGAATGTTATTCATTAAAGCTAGCATGGCATCTGTAGTTGTTCTCCCGTGTCTAAAACCATATTGTTCCACAGAAAACAGGTTGTTGTTTTCAAAGAAATGCACAATTTGTTTTACTATAACACTTTAAAGTATTTTAGAAAAACATGGTAAAATATGTATTTGGCGAAAATTTTCAGGTACTGAGTCATCTCCTTTTTTGTGGCATGGTAGAACTTTGGACGTTTTAAAAATATATAAATATGTATTAGTTTCATATATATCTTGAGTTCTTCTTGATTTAATGTTTTGTATTATATCTATGGTGTCAGATTCAGTAAAAGGAGCTAAGAAAAGTGATTGATGTTTTCGGTTATAACAAATTAAGTCAATTTTATTTTTATTGTTATTAAGGATGCCTTCTACTATATCAGATGAATGATTTACAAAATATTTATTAAAGGTTTCTATATCGATTTCAAATTCTACTTTATTTTTATTATTACGTCCTGTTTCATTATTTATTATTTGCCATACAGTTTTAGATTTATTGTCTGAATTATTAATTTGTTGAAGTAAGTTATTTTGTTTTGCATTTTTTAGAAATACATTGTATTTAGTTTTCTCTTATTTATAGAATTTTTTATTGTAGTCGGTTGGTTTGTTTTTAATGACGTCCTGTAAAAATGAGACTAGTTCTTTTTGTCTTTTTATTTCATCTGTATTCATATAACTCAAGTTTTTATTACATTTTCTTTTAGGTTGTTTCATAAATCTAGCATGAAGTGCTTCAGCTTTTTTATTTGCATTGTTTGCTTTTCTCATGTCATGCCAGGTTTCATTTTGCAGAAGATTATTTATATTATTTTGAGAGAAGGATCTAAAATGGGTTATACGAGGTAAGCGCCAATAATTCCCGGCCTGACATAGTTGCAGGATATTTTATCAGGATAAAAGTTTAACATTTTATAACTACAAACCTTAGTAGGCTGTGGTAACAAAATAAGCGATTTACGTCAAATAGTTTTTAATTGTCAGCATTTTGAACTAAAGTATCTCCGAAAATATCTCAGGTGACGAAAATTGAGTACAGAGCGGTTATTAAATGTTTAACAAAAGAAGGGCTTACACCTAAAATTATTAAAGAAAGACTCGATGGCGTATATGCCCAAAGTTCCCCTTCCTATTCGGTAGTGAAGGAATGGGCAAAACGTTTTCGCATGGGTCAGAAATCCCTTGAAGATGACGAAAGACCTGGACGGCCAGTGGAGGTGATAACGGAGGACAAAGTGGCCCTTGTGGAAAACCTGGTGCTAAGTGACCGCCGTTTGAAGGTCAAGGAAATGGCAGAAATGACCAAGCTTTCTGATACCACTGTTCGCCGAATCCTCCATGATCATTTGGGTATGCATAAGGTTAGTGCAAGATGGGTGCCCAAACACCTTTCGGCGATTCAGAAGCAACTGTGTGGAGATGATCCGAACCCCGTGTTGGAAACAATAGTCACTGGAGATAAAACTATGGTTCTTTATTATGATCCTCTGTTGAAAAGGGAATCAATGGAGTGGCGTCGTAAGGGTGAAGCACCCCCACGAAAATTTAGAGTCTGCCAACTAACGAAAAAGGTGATGGCTACGATCTTTTGGGATTGTGAAGAAATCCTTCTGATTGATTTTAAAGAGACAAATACCACCGTTAATGGCACATATTATGCCGCATTATTTCATAAGTTGCGGGAATGTATTCGGGACAAAGTCGAGGAAAATTAACCAGAGGCGTGCGGTTGTTGCACGACAATGCGCCCGTTCATACTGCTGGCGTTACACAAGCTACCATCCTAGATTGCGGGTTTCAAAATATAGATCACCCTCCTTATAGTCCAGATATGGCTCCCAGCGATTATTATTTGTTTAGTTATTTGAAAAAGGACCTTCGCGGTCGACGTTTTCGGGACGATTTTGAGTTACAAGAAGCTGTTTTGGCCCATTTTGAGGATAAACCGAAAGAATATTTTTTTAAAGGGATTGAATTGTTAATTAAACGTTGTAAGAAGTGCATTGAGGTTAAGAAACATTACATTGAAAAATAATAAAAACTTGTTGTTGTACTTTGCCTCCTTCATTGTCAGGCCGGGAATTATTGGCGCTTACCTCGTATCTCCTAATATGGAGCGCTCATGATTTAGGAAAGTTAATAATTGAGGGTCTAGGTCTGACTCTGTAGTCCTTAACACGCGTGTCTGAGCAAAAGCAAATATGTTGTCTGGACATGTTTTAGAGCTCTCTGTAATACGAGTATATGTAAATATTGTTTGTTCAAAATTAAACTGAAGTAAAAGTCGGTGAGTTGTCTTGTTCTGCTATCAGGTTCTAAAAATTTTACATTAAAATTCCCACATATAATGATTCTACTATTTTTGTGTTTAGCTTCTAATACTAATAAAACATTTGTTAAAATTGTAAGAAATATTTCAAAATTAGAATATTGTGAATTGGACCTATATATAACAATGAGTACCAGATTAAGCTTTTTAATAAACGCCCCAGTTATTTCAAAGTGGAGTTCTTTTGACATATTTTTAATTTCTGAAATCTCAGCGCTTTGTAAAGTGTTGTGAATATATATACTTACCCCACCATGGATATGTGTTTCTCTACAAAAAGTAGTTACGTTATTAAAATTTGTAAGATTGAAACATGTCGCCTGGTTAGACAACAGCCAATGTTCTGAAAAGCAAATGTTTGATAAAATATTTGCATTTGTTTTCATTTACACTTGATTAATAAAAGTGTACATTCCTAATATCTATCTTAAAAAAAAATCCTAAAAAACCTAAAATTGCAGAATTTTCACTTTTCCAAGGCATTAGATATATATTCGTGGTAAGTAGATTAAGCTCAGTGGATTTGGAAGACTGGAAAAACCATATTGTTGGTCAATTAATACATTTTTAAATGAAGGGGTAACAATGTCACAAATACAACTCTCAAAAAGTTTTGGTACAGTACTAACGATACTAATTGGATGATACTTAGAGACATTAGACTTTAAAGATGGGAGTTATATAGCTTGTTTTCCATGTACTAGGGAAAATGCCAGTACTCAGGGACTTATTGAATATATGAAATAAGTAATGGCATAGCGAGATTAAAACTAATCTTTTTCAAAAAGATAGGTGGAAGAGAGTCAGCACCAGATCCTTGAGGTTGCTTAATTTTAAATAACTTTTCCAAGGTTGATATTACCAGCTCTAGAAAAATTGGGAATTTCAAAAGTGCTATCAGAATATATTGATGCAAAATACTCAGTAAACATGTTTACTATATCATACTTAAATAGTTATTACTAAGTGCATCAATTTTATCTTAACTATCAAGTTTTAAATTTTCTATAATAATATTGTATTATTTTCTATAAATCACATATAGTACTTATTTTTTCGTGTTAGGCATACAGCTAGTATATAAATTAATAAAAATGGCAACAGGGCAACAGCCAATCGTCGACTAGAATTTAGAAGATGTGGTGGTGGGATATTAGACGAATCGAATGTCAGTCACAAATCCAGAGAGCATAGCGATAGCGGTGATATCATAGTTGCCACATGTTGGCTGTGAAAGCACGGCTATGCTTAATACAAAATAATAAGTACTGTATAATATGCTGCTGAGCGTTTTAATTTGTTAACAAATTAATTTTGTTGGGATAGATTCAAGGCGGAGATCCAACAAATACAGGAAGCGGAGGTAAATCCATCTGGGGAGATAAATTCGAAGATGAATTTAAACCTAACTTATCTCATACTGGACGAGGAATATTATCCATGGCGAATTCTGGAAAAAACACCAATGGATCTCAATTGTAAGACATATTGTATTAATATTAACATATTTGCAATGTTTGCCTCATTTAAGATTTCTGTATTTTTATGATGATTTCAGTTTTATAACGTATCGGTCTTGTAAACATTTGGACAACAAACATACAATATTTGGAAGAGTTGTCGGGGGTATAGAGACCCTTAATGAAATGGAAAAAATCGAAGTTGATAACAAAGACAGGCCCATTGAAGACATTATTTTAATTAAGGCTCAGGTTTTCGTTAATCCTTATGATGAAGCTGACGAACAGGTATCAAATATATTTACGTTTTTTTAATAGTTTTTTATGTTTTTTTTTTAAATATATTTTTTAATAGTTTAAGTTTAGGTTTTTATTATAGTTCTTTATAGTTTTTTTTTTAATATTTTTTTATAATGGTTTTTTAATAGTTTTTTTTTAATTTTGTTTCTTTTTACAGTTTTTTTTATGGTTTTTTTAATAGTTTTTTTAAATTTTGTTTTTTTTTTACAGTTTTTTTTATGGTTTTTTTAAGTTTTTTTAAATTTTGGTTTTTTTACATTTTTTTTAAATATTTATTTAATAGTTTTTCTTTAATAGTTTTTTTTTAATAGTTTTTTTAAAGTTTTTTTTTTAATAATTTATTTTACTATTTTAACAAATAATTATTATGATCTGTTTTTAGCTAGCAAAAGAAAGGCAAGCGGAAATAGACAAAATTAAAGAAGAGGAATTAAAGAAAACTGTTCAAATGAATGCCAATAAAGAACTTAAAGTATTCAGAAGTGGTGTAGGAAAATATATTAATCCCAATGTAAATAAAGGGTATGTATAAAAAATATTTTAAATTATGTACTTTTTATATAAAAAATATTTATTTTTAGCGTTGATCCCGATACAGCAGAACCTAGTACGAAAAAAAATAAAACTTACAATACATTTAATTTTAATAATTGGTAATATTTGGCTATCATATTTGGAATGACATTGTAATATATAACTATTATTTGTAAAGGAAAAAAAACGTATTTAATAAGAAATAATAAATAATTTTAAATGTTTTATGAGTATTTTTTAACAACCTTTCCGGTTTATTTAGAGCCTAAAAGTGTCCACATCTAGAAAATTATGTTTTGTAAGAAAATCTGATGTGTCCAACACATGACTTTCCTGTCAAGTTATTATAATCTTAATTAAAGCTTAAATTTAACATTCGGTGGTGTTTTTATCTTTATCTGTTTTTGAGTTATCTTCAAAATTCGCAATTTGCACTTTTCTCAAATATCTCGCATACGGTCCATTTTTAGGGAAATCATGTATAGAACAAATTATGAAGAATAACATAGGGTTGCCACCTTTTCATTCCTCAAAACCCGGACTTTTGTTTGTGAAATTTGTACAAAAAAAAAAGGTCTTCAGCTTATAATTTTATAAACTAGGTCTTTCTGTCGAGCTTCTAAAAACAAAAAACCAAAAAATAAGCAAAAAAAACAAAAATAAAAAAAAAAGAAAAAGGTCCTCAGTCTGTATTGTTAATAAACCAAATCTTTCTGAAAAAAGAAGTCTTTTCTAAAGTTATCCAAGTATTCCCTGTCATTTTCATCATGCGACCGGACAAATTGTTAAAAACTCGGACAGTCCGGGTGACACCTGTAATGTACTTAGGATTGAGTAGGGTTTCATTAAAAAAATTATGATATTTTGGTAAAGTAATAGTAAAATATCTTTATTTTATGAATATTCAACATTAATTCTAAGAAGATGAAGAATAGCTAGATTATTTCTTAATCTTCTCAGTTTACAACTTATTTGCACTTTACAAAACTTTGTACCAAAAACATAATATAATGATGGTTGTTCTTGTTCAAATATTTCTTGAAGATCATAATTTGGCTCAATTTAAAAAGTTGTTCCGGTACTTGATGTTTGATTCTGAAACAAAAATATAAATATTTTTATAACCAAAATAAAAGTTTATGATTTAAATTCACTTGTAACAAACAATAAAGTTTCTTGTTTAAGCACTATTTGTTATATCTGTTAATAAATACACCGGTATCACCTAGTCCTGTCTTAAATAAAAAAAATACTTTATAAAATAAAATACATATTCATTTAAAAAAATATTGTACATATAGTGTACATTTTTAAAACTCTTGCATATCTCCCTACTTTCTGCTTCTATAGAAGTCGGTGGTCTAGCTATGTTTTTTTTATTCTGTCGACTCAATATTGTAAAAAGGAAATCAATGTACCTGGATCAACGGTACTTTTGCTTTTCAGAAATTTCCATTTATCTGAAATTGTTACAAAGTTTACTGTACCAAATAATAAAATTAAATATTACAGGTCATTTTCTAACTGTTCCAGATATACTATTTCGCAGAGTGGGCTATTTTCTCAGCTACTTTCAGGTATGTAGATGAGCCACAGATAATAATACTGAAATAAATAAAAGAACAATTATTGTAATATAAATGTTCCGAAAAGTAAACAATATTACTTTTACATGTTTATTTATATTATTTCGTTTGATTTTAATACTGCTCCATCTATTGAAGTAAATGCTTCAATTTTCTTGGTATTTGCCTTCTACAAAGAATTGGTCCATGATTGATCACATACCTTTTTACATAAGAGCAATATGCATTTTCCTCAAAATGCTGAGAAGAAACATAACGAACTTTAGCTAAAAATAATTTCTAAACAATTTGATTAGTGGTTTGTAACCACTGTTCATGTTAAGTGCTCCAGATTCGTAGGAAACCTGAAAAATAAAAAGCTTTTAGAATACAACAATAGGAACATAAATAAAGTAGTTACTGTTACTTACAAATGGAAAGATTTAACATAAAAGTAAAGCAAAGTTTTCAAGATATTCAATATTTGTTAATGGTTTTTTAAAGTACGAGTATATAGGTTCGTAAATAATATCTTTGGGGACTGACTTTGGGTAAATACTATAACATAGTCATTAAACAATTGCGCCAAGATGTAGGCAACACGTAGTAAGTGTTCAAAATGGTGGAGTTTTATATCTCCTTTTAAAAGGCACTCAGAAAGCTGCGCAGTACGACCATTATAGTGTCCTTTTTTGAAACAAAATGACCATGTGATTAAATCTTAAATTGTCCTTTTTATGGCAAATGTCCTCTTTTTCTACGACAAATGTCTTCTTTGTCAAACAGCACATATTTTTGGAAGGGACATGCGGTTTGTACAAAGAAAAAATGATTTTACTTCCATAGACGTTAATTCATAAAAATTAAACCGTAATATAAAAAAAATATATTCACAATTTTTAAAGCCGGACCTGTCCATTTACCAATGTTTCCATCCATATCATAACCTGGTTGTGCATTTAAAAATATCATAGTAGTCGCACCAATAAAATATTCTAAATACTTCATTTTGTTTACAAGTGTTCCGTTATTGGTTAACATAAACGGAATAATAACTTTGAGTCTACGGATACTTCATATCTGAACTTGGCTTTAGAATTGGGACAATCCATTTTTGACCTTTAAATCTGACGTTTCATAACCGCAGTGTCAAAGTCAAAATTGTTTTTCTGCAACTGCAAGCTGCAAGATCATTAGCACTTGAAACAAGAATAGGATTTTTCTACTACGAAGTTACAAGTCTTTATAGTTTTTAGGCAAATTTCGTTAAGATGGACTGCGGTACGATATTAAGAAGTTATTCTAGGTATATGTTGATACTTTTCAACATAATTTTTGTGGTAAGAAACAATACTTTTTTTATCTATTAATAGTTAAAATGTCTGCCGGTTTCCTTTGTTTATAAAATTGCAATAAAACTAAAATATACGAGGTTGTACTAAAGATTTAAGGACGAAATTGTCTTTGATTTGTATTTTTTAGTCGATTTTTCGTAAAAGCGTTATTTTTTGTTTTATCCATCAATGGGGCGTTTATATTTAGAACTTGTTTTTTGCCAGTTCTTGGAGATAATAAAAATTGTTATCAGGAAATGACTAATACACTACTTTATATATAATTTAAATAATCATAAAAAGGATAATGATGCGAATATTGTTATAATTTTATTAAAATCATACTAAGCAATTTTTTGTTTTTGATTGAGTTATAGGTATTGCACAATAATTAATATAAAACATTTTTTTAATGATTAATAATAGTCAATGCTGGTACAAATTTAGTTTATATTATGTGAAAAAACAACATAAGACCTTTCACAAAAAACCTCTAGAATTAAAATAGATAAGATTTGGAATAAATGGCTAAAAATTGAATAAATTTGTTTTGTAGTACCAGTTTATCAATTTTGAAGGATTCAAAGAAAATATTTTATACTTCAGATAAGAAATATTAATAAAATTACTATTTTTGACAGTGAAAAGTTTCAAAATGCCTGTTTGGACGTCCTTTTTGATTTTGTACTATTAAAAGGGGGTAGAATGATACATTGTTTTAAAGATATTTTTAGTCTAAAACGACTCTCAATTTTAAATGATTGATTATTCAAAACATTTTTCAAAATGGCCACCAACTGTCAATTTGAAATTTTTTAAATTTGTAATAATTTCTTAGGGTTTTTTAAATAATTACTACAACTTCATGTGTAGGCCATCTTGGTTCATTATTTTTGTATCCCAAATCTAAGATGAATAAAATAGTTTGGAATTTGCGACCACATCATTGCTAAATATTTATATTTCAGATAAGTGGTATCATTGTAATTTCGATAGGCCTCAGCGCCAAAGCCTATTTCCATGAATTTGATGAACTTATGAACAACAAATACTTTCTAATTTCTGATTTGCTCATCGTCATTGGTGTGGTGATTTTCTTCATAGCCTTCTTTGGATGCTGTGGTGCCATGAAAGAAAATAGTTGTATGACAAATACTGTAAGTTGAATACGGTTTTACTTTAAAATCAGTGTTATAATAAAAAAATATTATTTTATTATATTTTAAGGCAATTAAAAGTAAAGCTAAGATACAGGTTGTAGACTCTATAAAAACTTTCTTTTTGTGCCAATATTTAGTTGGTAGTTTAACAGAATTTTGGGATAATCTATTTTTAAGAAGATGAATTTACTATAAGATTAAGGAAATTCACTAATATAATCTTCAATTTATTTAAAAAACAATTAGTTTGTTTCAATGTAATCATTCGGTGATTTTCTTCTAGTATTCAGTTTTGCTGATAATTATTTTCATTCTTGAATTGGCTATTGGAATTTCTGGAGTGCTTCTTAAGAATAATACAGAGGCATTTTTGGAAGACAAGCTAAAAACTACTATGGAACAGTACAGAAACGTTTCCTTCAATGAAACCACTGTTGTTTGGGATTCCATTCAAAAAGAGGTACTTAATGGCTAATCAAATTTAAAATTAATATTGATTTTTATTCTAACAAGTAATTTTTTTTAGTTCCAATGTTGTGGAGTAGAAAGCTACAAAGATTGGTACAATGTGACTGTTTTGAATAATTCATTGCCAATATCTTGTTGTGCAATACCCCCAGGTGCCACTGTTCTTATGTGCTTACCAGAGCATGCTTATTCTGAGGGCTGTCTTGATAAATTTGGTGACTTTATCAAAGAAAATGTGTCCTATGTTGAAGGCGTTGGTATTGGATTAGCAGTTATCCAGGTAAGAATAAGAATTTGAACGAGCCAGTTATTACTGCTGTATTTGATAATCGACATTTCTTGTCAAATTTGGTCACTCATTTATCTCTTTTCAGTTATTGGGTATCATATTCTCCTGCTTGTTGGCGAAATACATTAGAAGCGACTATGAGACTGTTTAAACTTAAGTGATAGAGAAAGAAAGAACTAATTTAGTAATATGCAATATTGTATAACTATGAAGTAATTATATGTAGTGTCTAGTTGTTCCAAGAACTTATTATTATATGTTTGAGTTGTTTCTTTGTATAAGGGTTTTATTTTGCTTTATTTTACTGTTTATTGTGATGATTGAATATGTCGTTACTAGCGATAATCTATAATATATTTACGTAAATTGTAATTTTGTAGATTTTATAATTTGA